CTGGGCAGCATGGGCTCGATTTCCCTTGCAGGGCTCTGAACTGCAGCTGCAACAGGCACAAAACTGACCTGGAATGCTCAAATTAATCCTACATGTAAAGTAATTTCTTTACATCTGGAAGTCACCAACTAGCTTTATTAAAATAATCTCCCTAGCAGAGTCCTGGAAGGTAATTGCTTGTACACTTGAGTGGACAAGGAAACATTCCACAGAGAGCTCTTCATCAATAGCCAGCTCTCTTTAGAGCAGCAATAAACCCAGTAATTGACCTATGTTTTAGAAGAAATAAGAATTATTTCATGCCTAACAGCTTTATTTCTCCACTGTGCTTTATTAAGGCCGGTTAAATACCAGTCCTAACAAGTCCTTGTCAGAACAAATGATCTCATCAGCCTGTGGTGACATGGCCACAGAAATACCCTTTCTAATCACTTAGTCCTGGAGTTTTCCAAGCAGTTTTGTGTCAGGTCCTGGAATTTAGAAGCTTCACATGAAAAGTTTTCATAACCAGAGGGTGCTGGGCACTGCCCAGGCTCCCCAGGGAATGGTCCCAGCCCCGAGGCTGCCAGAGCTCCAGGAGCTCAAAAAAAAAAAAAAAAAACCTCCAGGAGCACAAAAAAAACTCCAGGAGCACAAAATCTCCAGGATCTCAGCCCCTCAGAAGGCAGTTCCAGCTCCAGCCCCAAGCAGCCCCTCCCCATGGCCAGCCCAGCCCTGCCCTGGTGTGATAATTGATAAAAGATTGGTGTTAATCACAAAAGCATTGGGGTTTGTATAAAGCAGAATACTAAGCTCTGAAGTGAAGCATGGACACTAGATAAAGGAAATTATATGATAAAATAATTCTGTTTAAAATCACCTTGTTATGGTATATTATGTTGTATTATGTTACATTAGAATATGTTATGTTATGTTTTCTAAATAAGTTGTATCAGCCACCAGCTTGCAAAATCAAACTTCCCAAAAATCCCTTCCTGCCTTTGTCTGATCAATGCTGCCTATCCCAAAAACCAGACTCCCAGAACTTCTCTGGTGGATGTTTATTCAACCACCACTGCTTACGACAACAAAAATCCAAAATTTATTGATTCCAACGAGAACCCACAGTACGAGAAGAGGCTGCAAACCGAGGTGACCCCTCACGTTCCCCAGCTCTGTTTGCTCTTTCTATACCAAATAAAACAATCTGAATTTTGTTGAATATCGAGACTTTTCTAACACTTGGCCACCTCCATCCCCTCCCTCACCTTTGCCAGCCCAGCCCGGTGGGCTCCCTGGGATTCCATGTAGGCGATGAATTTGCCAAAATCGCGGAACTCGTCCAGCGAGGGTCGGAAGGTCATGATTTTACAGCCGGGGTTCTGCGGGCTCGGGCTCTCCGACCCCATCGCTCCCGTCCTGCCAGGGGCAAGGGAAAGGGTTAAAAAAAAAAAAAATACAGACCTGCCTAACATTTCCCCCCAACTCCCCCACCCATCATCAGGATGGTGCCACAAAAATAAAAAACTTCTCCCCCACCTGCAGCGCTGTCAGGGTGTAAAAGTTTTCCACCAAAATGCTCCCCCCATTTTCTATCTGGGTTCAAACCCAACAGTTTGTTGTTTGTTTTTTTTTTTTTTCATGTGCTAGACTACATTAAAATTATAAAATTGGGGTTTTTTTTTAAATGTAGCTTCATTCCACTTTGTATTTGCAAATTAATTAACAGAACAAAGTGTCAGGCACGTCTTACAAGAAATACAGCTGCACAATTCCACAACACCCAAAAGAAGCTCTCAAACAATTCAGGATGGAAATCACCATTTTTTTAACATGGACTTTTCCAAGGTTAAGCTGGTTATCCTCAGGGTAAAATCCATGTTTTTTTGTGGCGTTTTCCAGCCTTGCTGGAGGCTCTGCAGCAGCTCCAACCCCCAGCACTCACGAGAGGGCAGTGCTGGACTGCAGGAGGATAAAAAGCAGGGAAATTCTTCAGCCCCTCTGACACCCAACCAAAGCATTTCCAGGGCGTCTAAAATGATTTTAAACCACAACCATCTCACGCCAAAGTGGGAGCATTCCACACCCGGGGCACCAAAAGTTTCATTTTAACCGGGTGAAACTTTCCCTTTCAAAGGCACGTGAAGAGTTTTGAGTGAAATTTTAGAAACTAGAAAACGTTAGAATGTTACATAGTAATTTTTAGGCAAATTTGTTTCAAAATAAGGATCTGCAAGTCTTATGTTCTCCCCCAAGGAGTCTTTAAAAGAATTTTATGCATAAAATCACAGCTTCTCACGGTCACAAAAGCCCTTCCCAAGCCAGGAGCCAGAGATGCAGAACCCAGTCCAGAAAAAATTTAAAAAAAATCAAATTATGAATCCCAGTATTGCAGGAAATCCCAGAGCAAAACCAACTGAGGGAGAAAAACACCCAGGATACTTCCAATTTCCGAGAGAAATTGTTGCAGTTTGGAAACAAAAGGGCCCTTTAACCAAACCCTTCACCTCCAGGCTGGCCCTGCCCAAGGAGATTCCCAACCTTGCCAAACCAGGAACAAAAATTAACTTTGGAGAAGAATTATTGCAGTGTCAGGTCGGCACCGGAGCAGCAGCAGAGTGATCCGTGCCCACGGGAAATGGGAACCACCCCCTACACCAAGG